AGTGGTTAAGAGCTACGGCTGCTAACCAAAATGTCAGCAGTTCAAATCCACCAGGCACTCCTTGGAAACCATATGGGGCAGTTCTGCTTTGTCCTGTAGGGTTGCCATGAGTCGGAATCTACTCGATGGCAACAAGTTTTTTTTTTTTTTTAAAATGTTATATGCCACAACATATACAACCCTGCAACAGCAGTAATAACAATAATTTGCAAGTGGATACACAGGCAGATATCTGTGCTGAATAGGTCTGGGAGGACGTGTGGAGTACACCCATGTGCATATATAGACTAAGCTGTGGATATTTCTACATATGTATTTGTATGTGGTGCATATGTTGTCATATATACATTGGAGCACACAGGGAGCACAGTCAGGGAAACTTAGACATGACCAAATACTTCACGGGACTGAGTTACTGGGCTTGATGGCTGGGGGCCATAGTTTTGGGGGATATTTAGGTCAATTGGCATAACATAGCTCATAAAGTCAACATTTACATCCTACTTTGGTGAGTAGCGCCTGGGATCTTAAAAGCTTGTGAGCAGCCATCTAAGATACAACTATTGGTCTCTTCCTGTCTAGAGCAAGGGAGAGTGAAGAAAATGAAAAGACTCAAGGAAAATAATTAGTTCAAAGGACTAATGGCTCATACAAACCACAGCCTTCACTAGCCTGAGACCAGAAGAACTAGATGGTGCCTGGCTACCACTACTGACTGCTCTGACCAGGATCATGGTGGAGGGTCCTGGACAGAGCAGGAAAAAGATGCAGGACAAAATCCAAATTCATAAAAAAGACCAGACTTGCTGGTCTGATAGAGACTGGAGGAACTCCTGAGACTATGGCCCTTAGTCACCCTTCTAACTTAGATCTGAAGCCACACCCAGAGATCACCTTTCAGCCAAATAATAGACAGTTGTATAAAACAAACAAAAATACCCATGAGGAAAGTGATCCTAAGAACAATTAACTATACAAGACCAAAAGGGCAAGAGAAGCAAAGATGAGAAAGCAGGAAGGGGCAGGAAAACCAGATGAATGAAAACGAGGAACTGAAGGTAGAAATGGGGAGAGTACTGACACATTGTGGAGATTGCAACCAGTGTCATAGAACACTTTGTGTATAAATTACTGAATGGGAAACTAATTTGCTCTGTAAATTTTCACCTAAAGCACAATAAAAAAAAAATTATAGATAAGTCAAAATGGATTCTAAAAAATGTTCAGGTAACCCACAGGAAAGCTGGAAAAATAAAAAGGAAATTAAAAACAGAAAACAAAAATAAAATGGCAGACTTAAACTCTAACATGTTAATAATTAATTTAAATACACCAGAGTGTGTTTAAGAGAGACTAAGATTGGCAGAGTGGATTAAAAACATATCCAACTATGTGCTGTCTACAAAAAACTCAAAATACAAACCATATAGGCAAGTTAAAATGAAAATATGGAAAAAGCTATATAATGCAAACATTCATTAAAGGAAAACAGAAATGGTTATATTAAAATCAGATAAGGTAGACTTCAGACCAAAGAATATTACTCAATAAAAAGTTCATTATATAATGATAAAAGGGTAAGTCCACCAGGAAGACATTGCAATCCTAAATATGTATGCATCAAACAAGGTTGTAAAATATATGAAGAAAAAACTGATAGAAATGAAAGGAGAAATAGACGAATCCACAATTACAGATGGAGTCTTCAACACCAACATCCCTTTCTCAGCAGTCCATAAATGACTAGACGGAAAATCAGTAAGGATATAGAAAAACAACAACGTCATCAACCAACAAGACCTAATCAACATTTATAGAACATTTCACCCAGTAACTGCAGAATACATATTCAAGTGCCCACAGACCATGTAACAAAATAGACTATACCCTAGGCCATAAAATAAGAGCATGTTCTCTGGCAACAATGATATCAAGCAAGAAATCAGTAGTAGGAAAATCTCCAAACACTTGAAAACTAAAGACACGTCTAAATAATCCATGGGTCAAAGAGGAAGCCTAAAGTGAAAAAAAAAAATCACTGAACTGCATGGAAATGAAAATATAACATGAAAATCTGTGGAACACACCTAAAGCAGTGCTGAGAGGGAAATTTATAGCACTAAATCCATACATTAAAAAAGAAGAAAGTCTCAATAACCTAAGCACACACCTCAAGCACCTAGAAAGAGAACATAAACCCAAAGCAAGCAGAAGGAAAGAAATAATAAAGATAAGATTAGAAATCAATGAAATGGAAAACAATAGAGAAAAATCAATGAAACAGCTCGTTCTTTGAAAAGGTCAATAAAATTAACAAACCTCCAGGAAGACTCACAAGGAAATAAAGAGAGAAGACAAATTACCAGTATCAGGAATGAAATGGAATATCACTACAGATCCTGCAGACATCAAAAGGATAATAAAGGAATACGATAAATAGTTGTACACACATAAATTGGACAAAATGAGCCAATTTTTCAAAAAAGACAAACTACAACTCACCCAATATGAAATATATAATTTAGATAACTCTATAACTATTAAGGAAGTTGACTTCATAATTGTAAACCTCCCCCAAAACCCACTCCTAGGTATATATCCAAAAGACTTGGGAAAAAACAAAAAACCAAGCCCTTTGCCATCAAGTTGATTCCGACTTGAAAGCAGAGACTCAAACAGATACTTGTATACCAGTGCTCATCGCAGCATTATTCACAGTAGCCAAAAGGTGGAAACAACCCAAGTGTCCATCAACGGATGGAATAAACAAAATGTGGTATATCCATACAATGGACTGTTATTCAGCCATAAAGAAAAATGAAGTTCTGATACATGCTATGATATGGCTTAATCTGGAAAACATTATGCTAAGTGAAATGAGTCAGACACAATAGGACAAATGATCTAAGAGCCCACTTAAATGAAATATTTAGAATAGCAAGTGCAGAGACAAATGTCTATCATGGTTTCCTGGGGCTGGTGGTGGGGGTGGGGAGCCAAGAGGAGATGAGGAGCTACTGCAGAAGAGGTACAGAGTTTCTGTTTGGGGTGAGGAAAAACTTTTGGGAATGGACAGTGGTGATAATTGCGTAACATGGTGAGTATAATTAATGTCACTGAATTGTACACTTCAGATGTTTAAAATGGCAATTTTTTTGTTACATATTTTACCACAATAAAATTATTTTTTTAAAAACCTCCCCAAAAGAAAATCTCCAGGCCAAGGTAGTTACAATGGAGGATTCCACCAAAAGTTTAAAGAAGAATTAACACCAATTGTACACAGTATCATCTAGGAAATAAATGAGAGGAAACACTCATTTTATGAAGCTAGTATTGTTACCTTGACACCAAAACCAGACAAAGACAATACAAAAAAAGAAAACTACAAACCAGTATCCCTTATGAATATGGATGCAAATATCCTTACCAAAATATTAACAAATAGAATTCAGCAATATACAAAAGAATTACACGCCATGACCAAGTGTATATTCCAGGTATTAAAGACTGGTTCAGTCAGTGTTGTCCACCATCTTAACAGTCTAAAGAAGAAAAATCACATGATCATATCAATCAGTACAGAAGAAGCATTTGACAAAATTCAACACCAATTCATGATAAAAACTCTCAGTAAGATAGGAATAGACGGGGAACTTCTTAAACTAATAAAGGTCATGTTAAAGCCTGTAGCTTACATTATACTTAATGGTGAAAGACTGAACACTTTCCCCCTAAGATCAGGAACAAGTCAAGGATGTTTGCTCTCACCACTCTTACTCGCCATAGCGCCGAAAGTTCTCGCCAGTCCAGTAAGGCAAGAAAAGGAAATATAAGGATACAGATCAGAAAGGAGGAAACAATACTGCCCTTATTTTCAGATCACATTATTGTCAACAGAAAAATCCCAAGGAATCTACAAAAGAACTCCCATTATACATAGAAACATATATATTTTGTTATGTGTATAATAATATACATGTTATTACCAATATATGTTCTTAATAATAACATTTTATATATTTTCGTTATGTATCATAGGTATTTTATATATATATATTTCTACGTATTGGTCCTGCATTTAATCACAGACTTGCTAGATGTGATAAAGGTATTGTGGATAACAGCAACAACAAAAATACCAAACCCATTGCCGTCGATTCGATTCTGACTCATAGCAACCCTATAGGACGGAGTAGAACTACCCCATAGGGTTTCCAGAGAGTGGCTGGTGGATTCAGACTGCCGACCATTTGGTTAGCAGCCTGAGCTCTTAACCAAAATGTCATAGTTTGGATTTGTATACTTTAGTATTTAGGGGCAAAGTATCATTATGTCTGTAATTTACTTGAAAGCAAAAATAGCTGAAGCAAATATGACAACATGTTAACAATTGTTAAATGTAGATGATGGGAATATGGATATTTATTTATATTATTCTCCCTACCGTTTAGTGTATTTGCAATTTTTCATAATAAATGTTAAGTACACACACAGTAATCCTGCAGTGAAAAACCTTGTACATAATCTTGCATGCTCTATGGGTCACTCCAAGGTCTGCTAAGCCCTATGATAGGCGATATGAGAAGGTCTAGAACAGTGTTTTTCAACTTTTTCAGTTATTCCTAAAATCAGTTTTGGGAGATCATGACCAGTAATATCTTACATATAATGTAAAATAGAAGAGAAAATACCTAAGGGTTCTGAACTCATGAGGATGAATAATATATGAAATGTTTTTATCAGTTACCTTTATATTTACATGTATATATGATCATGCTGTAAAATCCATTCCTTATTACAATTTACAGGCAAAAAGTTTGAAAGTCACTGGGGCAGTCAAGTATTTTCTACCAGAAGTCACTGATGTTGATGCCTTCTTGGATTTCAAGTTCATTTCTCTTAATTTAAATGTATTTGACAGTGCTTTGCTTGCTGCATCTTGGTTATCTGAAAATGAGCTAGAAATGTTCTCATTTTCTTTATTTTAATTTTTCTAGTAACTATGACTGAAGTTTTACCAAAGGAAAAGAAACAGAAAGATGAGAAGACCTTAGTTCTTGGTCAAGCTGTGGTGGATCTTCTTCCTTTACTGGAAGGTCAGATGTGTGATTTGCCCAAGAGCAGAAATAATAAACCTCCTACCATTTAGCTCCAGAGAGGTGGGAAAAAAAAAGAAGAAAAAAAACCTTGAGGAATTTGAGAAGATGAGCACATTTATCTCTGCTTGCAGTAGTGCTAACTAAAACCCTTGCTTCTTTGGCTTAAACTTGGTCTTGTTTTTGCAGGAGAGAGTTCATTTCAAACGGTGGTCCCATTGCACCCCGTGCCAGGCTCGCCCCTAGAAACTATTCGACCAGGTGTTAAGGTAATTGGAGTTTTAACTCTCAACATTTTAGCCTGCCATTCAATCTAGCAAGCTGACAGCTATTAAGGTTCAGTACAGTTCATTAAGGACCTTCTTTTCACAGGCACACATAGTGCTAGGCTATGGAAAACAAAGGTGCGTAAGGCAGCATCCTACCTTCAAGGAGCCCACAATCTATGTATCACTGATTATCACCATCCCGATAATCTCTCTGGGCCCCCTCCTGCTTCTTATCTACTCCTGCACCTGCCTGGTCCTCTCCTGCTTATGTTTTAGGATGTGCCTGGTTTCTTCCAGTTTTGTTTCTCTGTAGGTCTGATTTAATTTGTTTTTTATCTTTCAAGAATTCCTAAAAATCTGTAGTCCATGATGGCATTTTGTAATTTGCAGGGCTATTACAGAATTATCCTTTTATTGGATATAAAGATGTCATTTAATATCTTTCTGTCATTCCATGTAATTTGGGGTAGAAGAGCATACATATTTATGCTCAGTCTGCCATCCTTGGTCCAGTCTTCCAATCTATGTATTGTTGATTTTCTTACATGTAGAAGAAAAGTTAGTAAAATTGATTATCAATACTTATGATCTTTGCTTATAGTATTATTCCTGTGTTTACTTGTTTTACATACTCAAGCAAAAATATGTTGTTGTTGTTAGGTGCCGTCGAGTCAATTCCAACTCATAGCGACCCTGTGTACAACAGAACGAAACATTGCCCGGTCCTGCACCATCCTTACAATCGTTGTTATGCTTGAGCCCATTGTTGAAGCCACTGTGTCAGTCTGTCGTTTCAAGGGTCTTCCTCTTTTTCCCTGATCCTGTACTTTACCAAGCATGATGTCCTTCTCCAGGGACTGATCCTTCCTGACAACATGCAAAAATATATGACAGTTAATTTCCATTGCTTGAAAGTTCCCAATAATTTTATGTTTAAGCATCTACACTGGTTATTCTCAAGATTCAGAAATTAAAATGAAAAAAATCTGTACTTGAAAAGGAGATTCCAGTTCATCTTGCAGTATTCCCTGTCTTGGTTGAGTAATATGAGCTAGAAACTTTGAGGACATTTTACTTATCCTCCTAGAGCCACATTGACCAGAGGTGTAATGTTCTTCAGTGCCACCTCTTCTTAAAATTCTTCCCCCGATTGACTTTCTGATTTCCCCCTCACTGACTGTACTTTCCTGGTGCTCCTGCGCTAGGTCTTTTTCCTCTGCCTGTTTCTTAAGTACTAGTGTTCTGTGCTTGGCTGCCTTCTCATCTTAGTCTTGTTCATACTCTAGGGGTAGAGGCTCACCTGTTCCATGATTTAAAAACAGTATGTTGAAGAATTCAACAGCTCCAGCTGAGGCCTCTCCTGAGTTCCAGAATATCAGACTTTACAACTGCCTACTGGATTTCTCTATAATGATATCCCACAGGCACCTAAAATTCAACATTTCCAAAACGGAACTCAGTATCTTACCCTCAAAACTACTCTTCCTTTTATTTTGGTTATTTTTATTAGTGGCATCACCTATCTCTTAAAATTGTAGGATATAGACCCTAGGTTATATCTGTGACTGCTCCCTCAGATGCTAACTACAACTAATCCCCAAATGTGCCTTTCACCAATTTCAGCCTTTTCTATCTCTTACATATATTTGAACTCTATCTTCTTAGCTCCATCTCTACTATTTATTGCCTCATCATCTTTCACCTGGAAGATTGCAAGTAGCTTTGTAACTGTCCTTCCCTCCCTCAGATTTGGCCTCCCCACTGCTTGCAGAGTGACTTAAATGCGAATTCGATCACATTGCTTCCACTTTTTTTTTTTTTTTACCATTTCAATAGTTTTTACATGTACAGTTTAGTGACGTTAATTATTTTCATCATGTTGTGCAACCATTGACATTGTTTCCAAATTTTTCTATCACAGAATTTTTCTATCACAAATTTTTCTTTAGCAGAAGCTCATTGTCTCCTAAGTTGTGAACCCCCTCCCACTTCCTCTCACCCCTGGTAACCACTAATACACTTTGGTCTCTGTATATTTGCCAATTCTGTATATTTTATATATGTGGGATCATACAATATTTGTCCTTTTGTGACTGATTTTACTTAGCATAATGTTTTCAGGGTTCCTCCATGTCACAGCTTGTATCAGTACTTCATTTCTCTTTATGGGTAAGTAATATTCCAGTGTATGGATATACCACATTTTGTTTATCCATTAATCTGTTGATGGATATTTAGGCTGTTTCCATCTTTTGGCTATTGTGAATAGTGTTGCAGTGAACATTGGTGTACAAATATTTGTTTGTGTTCTGCTTTCAGTTCTTTTGGATATATACCTAGGAGTGGAGTGACATTGCTGGGTCATATGGTAATTCTATGTTTAATTTTTGGGGGAGCTGCCAAACTGTTTTCCATAGTGGCTGCACCATTTTACAATTCCACTGGCAATGGATGAGGGTTCCAATTTCTCCACATCCTTGCCAACACTTGTTATTTTCCATTTTTCTGATCATAGCCATCCCAATGAGAGTACAATTGTATCTCATTGTGGTTTTGATTTGGATTTCCCTAATGACAAATGATGTTGAACACCTTTTCATGTGCTTTTGGCCATTTGGATATCTTCTTTGGTGAAAATATCTTTTCAAATCCGTTGCCCATTTTATTTTTTTAAATTGTGTTGTCTTTGGTTGCTAAGTTGTAGGAGTTTTTTTTGTATATTCTGGATATGAAACCCTTATCCAATATGTGGTTCCCCCACATCTTCTCCTGATCTGTAGGTTGTCTCTTCAATTTGTTGATAAAGTCCTTTGATGCACAAAAGTTTTTAATTTTGTTGAAGTCCAGTTTGTCTATTTTGTCTTTTGTTGCTCAGGCTTTTAGTGTCACATCTAAGAATTCATTGTCAAAAACTAGATCCTGAACCATTACCCCTGTGTTTTCTTCAAGGATTGTTTTAGTTCTTACATTTAGGTCCTTGATCCATTTTGAGTTAATTTTTATATATGATGTGTGAAAAAAATGTTTTCTTATTACAAAGCACTATGTTTTAATTACCAAAATAATCATAAAGAATAGGCTAGCAAAAAAGCACCCCCATCTCACTCCTGTACAACTACTATTAGCGTTTTAGTATAAACCAAACCAAACCCGTTGCCGTCTAGTCGATTCTGACTCATAGAAACCCTGTAGGACAGAGTAGAACTGCCCCATAGGGTTTCCAAGGCTATAAGTCTTTATGGAAGCAAATTGCCACGTCTCTCTCCCGCAGAGAGGCTGGTAGGTTTGAACTGCCGACCTTTCAGTTAGCAGCCGACCGACTAACTACTGTGCCAGTAGGGTTCCTCACATTTTTTAGCATGTTGTTCTTAGTTGCTATCAAGTTGGTTCCAACTCATAGTGACCTTGTGTACAACAGAACGAAGCACCGCCTGGTCCTGCACCGTGCTTACAATTTTTGCTGTGTTTGAGCCCATTGTTGGAGCCACTGTGTCAGTCCATCTTGTTGACGGTCTTCCTTTCTTTCACTGACCTTCTACTTTACCAAGCGTGGTGTCCTTCTGCAGGGTCTGGTTCCTCCTGATAACGTCCAAAGTACATGAGACGAAGTCTCACCATCCTCCCTTCTAAGGAGCATTCTGTCTGTACTTCTTCCAAGACAGATTAGTTTGTTCTTCTGGCAGTCCATGTATATTGAATATTCTTCACCAATACCATAATTCAAAGGCATCAGTTCTTCTTTGATTTTCTTTATTCATTGTCATGATAAACAGAGAAAATACTGAAGTTGTCAAGGATTTCATATTACTTGGATCCACAGTTATTGCCCATGAAGCAGCAGTCAGGAAATCAAACTACATATTGCATTGGGCAAATCTGCTGCAAGAGATCTCTTTAAAGTGTTAAAAAGCAAGGACATCACTTTGAGGACTCAGGTGGGCCTGACTCAAGCAGTGGTATTTTTTAGTATAGAACCTCCCACTTCTCTTCTATACATTTGTAGACACACTTGACCCCAGTGTGGTAGAGTGGGAAGAGCTCTGTCTTAGAGATAAGGTTCTTCTTTTGGCTCTATCTCTTAAGTCATGGGACCTAGAGAAAATTATTTCAGTGCTCAGTATGGAAGTAACTAAACTTGATCTTCATACCTTGAGATTCAAATGAGGTAATGTAGAAAAGGGGGCTTGCCTCTGGCAATTTCAGAATGTTACGCTTATTCTTTTCCAGCAATGCAGCCTTGAAGTGAAAGTGTTTGTGTCAGAGCCATTACTGACCTCCGCCCAGATCTCAGGGGGCAATCTACTAAAGGTCACTTTGGAGGCTGCTTACGCTGTGCCCGAGTCCTTCATGCCAATAGGACCCTTGCAGAACTACATGGTTGGTCTGCAAGTTCCATCATTTGGAGAGGTAAAGCCCTATCGCCAGATACTTATACAGATCTAAACATATCTACACTCCCGTGGCCATCTCTTCCTCCCCTGCTCTGCTTTCATTCAAATCATAGCTCTATTAATGGCTGAGATTTATTTTAGGCTTAAAAAATAAAGTTTATTTGTGTTTTTATACATAGTTTTATCCTTATATAAGGATATTTATATATTTATAATATATAATATGAATTACATACAAATTTTATTATATATATTTATGGATATTTATGGTAGAGAATATGTAAAACATTAAAAATTGTCAATTTTTTAGTGTTTCTGCTCTGATTATTTTTACGTATTTATTTCGTGGATTTTGTATAATGTACTTTATTATGAAAACTCTCTTAATTCCAGGTTATTTCCTTACGCCAAATTTCTAGGTACAGAATGATTGGCTATGGGTTTTTGAGGTTCTTGATAGAGATTTCCAAATTGTTGGCTCAAGGGGTTGTAATTAGTTAATACTTCCACCTGTTTAATTGCCAAGACCATGTATGTGAATGACTCTCTAAATTTGTGCAGCAACTGTCTCTTTTGCCTGGGACTTAGGGGGTCTCTGGGATGCAGGACTGTTAGTACTAAAACTGGGACAGTTTCAGGCCAACTGAGGCAGCTGGTCACCCTACCAGAAAACAACCCATACAACTGTATGAGGCAGATCTGCTCATTGCCCCCCTCCAACTTTGGGTTTCCATTAACATTTTTTTCTTTGTTTTTGCTAATTTTGTTAATTAAAACTTTTTATTTGCTTCCCCTCCCCCCACCCAAGGTCTTGTGTTTTCCTTACTGATTTTTTTAAATTATTTATAATATGTAAAGTAAAATAATGTTTTTTCAAATTTGTTAATTTATTGCTTTTCATGTTTTCTTCCAATTTATCATTTTTTAATTTGGGTCATTGCTTTGGCATACAAAAGGTTTTCAGCTATTTTAATAGTTAAACCTTTTCCTTTTAGATTTCCTTCATCATTTTAAACTTGTATAAACCCATTGCCGTTGAGTCAATTCTGACTCCTAGCAACCCTATCGGACAGAGTAGAACTCCTTATAGGGTAGAACTCCTTATAGGGTTTCCGAGGAACAGCTGGTGGATTTGAACTGCTGACCGTTTAGTTAGCAGCCCAGCTCTTAACCACTGTGCCACCAGGGCTCCTAAACTTGTATTGGGCTCCCTCATTCTGATGTTTGATGAAAGTTGCCCTTCCAGGTAGAACGTTAATGTCTAGTAGAGCTTTTCCCTTTATTGCACTTCCAGAATTTTCCTGGTTATTTTTGATGTTTATTTTTCCATATGAACGTTAAAGTTAGCTTATCTATTCTAAAAAGAATCCTGTGTGGTGTTTTTATTGGGATTGCATTACCTTTATAAATTAATTTAGAAAGAATTACCATTTTATGCTTTCTATATAAGAATAGGATTTTCTTGTGTAAGAACAGGGAATGCCTTTCCATTTACTCGCATCTTCTTTTATGTTCTCAGTTTCATTCAATTTTTTTCCAAATGAATCTTGCGTATTATATTTGGCTTTCAATTATTAATTAACAGACACTAAAGGGTGTGACTGGACTCCCTGAATCTCTGAATCTCTATACCCTAATCCACATACCTAGCAGAACAAACAGCTTTTTAATTATATTTTTCTCAAGCTTAAGAACCCATTTTTCTTTTGCCTAACAAATCCAGATTTCTGTTCGATTTCAAGACCCTCCAGTAAATATTCTCTTAACACGAGTCTAGTCTCAGCAGCTTTGTTTCTTCTTTTCTCTTCAGTAAAATGAAATTATGTGACATATTCTGTATAGCTTTGCTTATTTTTAGTCTCCCTATGTATCGTTTATGCTGCCTCCTTGTATTGAAATGAAAGACCTGCCTAAATTCCAGAGGATAAGAATCAGGATCAGTGCAAAGCTGGTTCCTGTGAGGCAGAGGTCAGACATACCTCCATTCTTCAGCTTTTCACTTTATCTGATGCCAGCTGTTCCCCCCATGGCTCTTTCTATTTCTCTGCCAAACCAAAACAAAACCAAACCCACTGCCATCCGTCAAGTCGGTTCTGACTCATAGTGACCCTATAGGCAGGGTTGAGTAATTCGTTGCAGTGGCCACACACAACTCACAGACCATACTCACAATTATGTGGTTTATTAGAGAAGTAGCAGGCTATAACTTGGGATCAAGATCAACCTGGAAGTAACAGGAACAACTCAGGATCAGGATTAGAAAGCACATAGGTGAGGTGTGCCTGACCTTAGCCATGGTGTTTTCAGTTGCCTCATATGCATGTGAAAGCTGGACAATGAATAAAGAAGAATTGATGGCTTTGAATTGTGGTGTTGGCGAAGAATAGTGAATATACCATGGACTGCCAAAAGAACGATCAAATCTGTCTTGGAAGAGTATAATGAGAATGCTCCTTAGAGGCAAAGATGGCGAGACTACGTCTCACATACTTTGGACATGTTATCAGGAGGGATCAGTTCCTGGAGAAGGACATCACGCTTGGCAAAGTAGAAGGTCACTGAAAGAAAGGAAGACCCTCAATGAGATGGACTGACACAGTGGCTGCAACGTTGGGGTCAAACACAGCAACAATTGTGATCATGGTACAGGACCGGGCAGTGCTTTGTTCTGTTGTACATAGGGTCACTATGAGTCGGAACCTACTCGATGGCCCCTAACAACAGCAACAACAGGCAAGGTTTGGAAGACTCCCTCAAGGCGGAGAATACATCCCTCCCTTCTTCAATGAAGGACAGCTTCCAACCAGAACAGCTTTCTCAGTTGCTCTCTGCCACTAGCAGGCCTCTCTGCTTTGCAAGCAGGCCCTACTCCATCATGCAAGCAGGCCCTTTTTGGCCACAGAGGCAAGCACGCCCTTCTCAGCCATGCTAGCAGGCAGGCTTCCCTCTCAGCTGTGGACGCCCCCTCTCAGCTGTTCACGGCCTCTCTGCCTTTGACCTCCCTGCCATTGGCCTCTCTGCCATCAACTGGCCCAGCTCATAGCCAGTACAGCAGCTTGTTCAGCTACTGCTTTCCTAGCAACAGCTTTCTATCGTTGCCGCTAGCTCTGCCACCAGGCCCCCTTTGGGACCTCTTGCTGCCGACTTTCTGCCACTGGGCCTCCTTCTGTGCTCTGCCACCAGGCCCCTTCCAGGCTCCTCACCATCTTCAGTGTTACAGCCTTTGGCCTCTATTACAGCTCTTTCAGGAGATTCTTCTCAGCGGGAATCCCAGGTCCAAACCACTCTGCTCCAGGCTTTTCTTGGTCTTGAGGTTTCCTCCTTGCTTCTCTTCTGTCTCTGCCTCCTAAAACTTCGGTGGGGTTGGCTGCTTATATAAGCAAACTACTTGTCAATTTCAAGGCATGGCCCTCGCGGCAGGACCACAAACCGACCAATCCCCTAGGTGGACTGCAAGTCACTCAGTCATATTGGGTGGATTTTCAAGCCATTATCTGAATAGTAAATTGACCGATTCTTTGCAAGATTATGGCCGAGCCAGTCATTTTGGGAGAGTCACAAGATCATGAGATGTCAATCAACCTGAGAGGTCCCGCAAGTAGTTTCTCCAAAGAACTAGGGCAAAGGTAACAAGTTAGAGCTTGGGGGAACATCTCTCAAGTTGTTTTTCCAAAGGACCGAGGCAAAAGACGACATAAAGGAACTCATTTCACCACATTCCTCCACCTGGAAAACTCTCCTTACTTTTCTGTATTTATATCCGTCCCTTCCAATATTTAGAACTGCATTTAAAACTTGATTTCTCAAGGACATTCCCTAATTAATCCACTCCACTTTGACTGCCGTTTAATTTTATTTTCCATTAACCTTACATATTCTTGACCTATTAATTTCTGCTCTAAAATGTATTTTTAAATGCTCTTAATACATAATTGAAGAACTTGAGCATAAGTCTCTTTGAATGTAAGCTTCCTGAGGGCAAAGACCATTTCCTTATTTCTTTTGTAATTCTCTCTAATAGCACTTATCTTAGTAAATAATTTATATGACTAATCCTATTTTATGGGAAGTTAGTTCCAAGTATTTTTATATTAAAACACTTAAGTAAAAAACATGCTTTTGCTAAATATTTGTGTACATTCATTATTTCCTTAGAATAAGCTACTAGAAGTAGGGTTAGTAAGTCAAAGTGTGCTTTCATTTGTAAGGATTTTTTTACATACATTTTGCCATAGTGTTTTCAGAAAAGTTGGATCAATTTATACTTCGTTAACCATGTATGAGGCTTTCTGTTTCCCTACTACATTGCCGAAGTGTTTTAAAGTCTTTTCTCATCTAATGAGTAAACAAGGGGATTTTATTTTGTGCTTGTTTAAATAATAGCGAGGGTGAAGTTTTTCCTACATTTGTATTTCCTTTATTTGTATTTCTTCACATATAACTTAACTATTAATATTCTCTGATTTTCTTTATGGCTGATTTCTAAGAAATCTTTCAGTATTAAGATATGTCATACACATTTTGTCCTCTGTAATTTGCCTTCTACTTTTATTTTTATTTTGGACATATAAAAATTACAAGCTTTTAGAGGCAGGGCCGAGATGGCGGAGTAGTCAGATGATTCCGGTGGACCTTCTTACAACAAAGACCAGAAAAAAACAAGTGAATCGATTATATATGGCAATCTGGGAGCCCTGAATATCAAAGGCAAAGTTGAGGAACCGGACTGAGTGGCAGGGGGAGGGAGAGACGGTTTGGAAGCAGTGAGGAGTTGCCAGACCTCACTTGGCGAGAGTCTGAGCCCTTCAGGCCTGATCAGCTTGGGGGTGAGCGGTGAGGCAGGCAAGCGTCAGTGCTCAGGAGATGTATTCTGCACAGGGAGAGACCCAGCCACTGAGAGTCTACTCAGCCACACAGAAACAGTGAGAAACAGCCCTCGATCGCGGAAAGATAAGTGTTTGCGTCCGGCCTACTGTGTAGATCAGAAACACCCCCCTTAGGGAAAAACCTCTCTCT